AAACTCATTCGAGTGCATCCTGCTGGCTTGTCCTTACTACTCCAGTTGACGGAAAAGTATAGAAGAGGTGGTAGTAGATAGATGAGTGCAATTTATTTCAATAAATGAATATATTCTTGTTTGATTGTTTTCGATGTGACTCATTTGCGCGTACTTGTCTGTTTTGCTTCATTCCTGATTAAACTCAAACTATAAAGCACTTTGATTCAATAATATTAAAACGCCACGTTTGCAATTAGTATAAGTAAATTGTCTAGCAGTACACCAAAGACAGCTGCTCTTGGCCTATGTTGACTTGTGTACATAGTGTCCCAAAAGTATGTATGCATTTTCAATTGTTAGTATCTCTCTTCCCATTAACTGCTCAAAATTTTTTCGCACATTATTCTGTAAATCCGACTTCAACTCAGGCCCGTAGTAAAGCTCTGTCACGGGAGATGATCTCCCCTGAGGCCCTCGTATGAGGCTTTATCGGGTGAGATGAGGACTGCCCACTTTTCCGTGGTGTAAGTATACAAGGTCACGTGACAGATGAGCTTCAGATGAAGCCCGGCAGGGAGATCAGCTCCCTGCCGGGCTTCATCTGAAGAGCTTCATCGGAGATGAGCCGGGCGCCGACATTAGGTAAATACTGTGCTAAAGAGGAGAGCACAGAGAAAATCTCCGTAAGTTGCTCCCGAGTAACTTACGAAACATCGCAGCTGACGTTCTTTTGCGGTGCAAAACTCCCAAAACTGCACAATTTCGGGCGCCTAAGTGAGTGAGGATCGATGAACAGCTTATTGCGCGACAAAATCGGAAAAAATGTTTTTTTTGCATTTTTCTTGTAGTTTTGCTTTTTTTTTTCTCAAAGAACCGCTCCAGACAACAAGAAGGTGAAATTATCTTTTTATTCGTTTTTCGCTAAGTGTAGTTCTTCTTCCTATAAGTGCCAAATTATTGTGTATCTGTTTTTTATATCGTTGTTTGCTGGGTGAAATCTCTGATAGCTGCTATCATCGATTTTTCGATAACGGCCGCTATTAAAGGTCGCCAGGCCAAGTACCAAAAATGGCGCCCCTAGCCGCACTCGAACCCCGGCTCTGCCGCTTGCCGCAACACTCTTATCTATTTGACTAGTAGTGCACAAATGGCGGGAACGTTTAACCTTTGAAGAACGTCCAGTTAGTGATCTGCTCCAAATCAATCGCTCCCCTGGCAATGCGCGATTCACCAATCATTCTGTAGTAACTGTTGTCTGAATATTTGATAAAATCGCTAAAACGTTTTTCAAGAAGTTTTGAAAATATGTGAAAAGGTATGCAGTGATTTGAGAGTTTAAGCATTTTTGAACAACTCCTCAGATTGTTCTGAATTTTCTTCTAAATCTGCAGCTAATCACGATGGCGAACTGGAAGCTGCCGTGATCATACAGTAGGGGGCACATGGTGTTAGTACCCAGCTCTGCAGATGGCGCTCGGAAAAGAGAGTTAACCACCAACACAATTAACAATCAATCAGTGCATCCGTACTTTTGGGACACCTTGCAGTTTGCTCACCCCTCTCTCGCGCCAAAATTTAAGTCAACGGCCAGTAAAGGCCTAAGCAGTAAAACTGTCCTACTCTTAAACCCACTGGTAAAACTTATGACCTTGTTGCTAGATTACTTGTGAAATTTGTACGTTAGTAAAAATTTCTATTCTTTTCACATCTCAATAGAAATTCTAATCTATTTACAATGTTTTGTAAAACTGATTTCAGTCTTTACCATCAATAGCGTTTTGTAAGATTGAATAATCTTACTGGAGTATCTGACAAACAAGTATCCATGCATCTACAAAACAGAAAGATTCAAAATTACTCTCAACCGCACGGTACTTTATCACATCTCAAATTCTGCAGCTATGTAGAAGCTCTTTTCGCAACTATTTTCTTTTTATGGCAAAAGCTAAGAGCTTTGGAGTTTGAATTTGCAGCACTGTAAATCCAAACCTTCAAGCAGTTTTGATCTCACAAGTACACCACAGAATGCTGCAAACCTTCTCTGAAGCAGTTTTGCAAGCCTAATCTCCAAGAGCCAAGATGATTGCTTATGGTCTGTCGTAAACCCCCTCATCACAACTCTGCTGAGGCGGGCTTATTGTACATAGGCTAAGCAACCGCTTTTTTCATCAGTCCTTTCCTGCTTAGCCCCAAGTTTGTGCAATTTTACCCGTTCTCGCAATGAGATGACGTTATCTAAAGTGTCTAATGAATTGCACGAGAGCGACTTACAGGATTTTTGCCTAATTCTTCGCTTTTGCACATTATGTCCTCACTATTTTTAACTTATGACTTACCTTCAAATTATTGGCGGCAAACTTACCGCCGCGCCTAACCGGGCGATATTTTTACAGTTCAATCTGCCATCCTGAAGCATGCAAATGTATGTTGTCGTAAAAAGAAGTTCGTCTGAGGTGGTCAGCTTAGTTTGACTTAGCTAACTGCGGTTTAATGGGGGCCTATAAGTAATTTCAGAAAAGCTAGAAAAACTGGAACATTCTAAAAACAATTTCACGTGCACCTAGAAAAGGCTTTGCACTACTATACTTGGTTAGAAGGCATTAGTCGAAAGTGGCGGACCCAAGAGCGTTTGCAAGGAAATCTTCACCGTTACTGTACCGTGCTTTTTGTGCGCATGCTCTGTTCTTATACTGTAGCAGCAGCGTATGCCAAATGCCACGCCCTTTTTTTCGCTTTTCGTAATGATTCAGGAGTATTGTACACATGCGTATGGAGAGATTTTTGATTATTCTGCTCTACATTTCGCATATATATATATACATATATCTCCTTGTTACAGAAGAAAAGTTGCTCTATGATGATATTTTTTGACAGTGGCCTTTTCAAACAAAACGTACACCATTAACACGTTGACGACGAGCTGTTTTTTTGACGTCTGTCCCTGTGGACGAACCGTTTCCGGGCATTTTCACAGCCGGCTGCATATATGTGTGTATGCATCTATGCGTGAAGTACAAAAATGCAAGTGGGCGAGGAAGCTCCGCCCACTTTTGGTAAGCCCCGCCCACTTTTCAAAAATGCTGGAAATTGCTCAAAATCAATGAATTCGTGCAAATTCCGGCATTTTTGAAAAGTGGGCGGAGCTTGCCACTTAGGGGGCGGGGCCTGCATATTGGGGCGCGGGGTCAAAATCAAGATTATTTGAGATTCCCCAGTCATCTACAAGCTTTTCTATGCGCTTTGAGAACGAAAAAATTTTTTTGTACAGGGCAACGGAGTGGGCGGAGTTTGCCAAAAGAGGGGCGGGGCCAACATGAAAAACTTCCGAGCCTGTACTGATTATATGAACACAAATTGGAACCATTGTGCACATTCGAACTGGTATTTAGGGTGTCGCGCACCATTGCGCGACATCGTCCACAGGGACAGACTGCCTGTCGCGCACCATTGCGCGACACTGTCGTCAACGTGTTAAAGGTACATTGAAGCGCTAATCCTAAATCTGCCCCCGGTATTTGCTATGCGCTTTTGCGAAGGAAGATGTAAACATTTCTTGCCACCAAAATTTGCATTGTTATGAAGACAGAATTCAGCAATATCGCTGAAATGTCACTTACGCACTACAAAGCGTCCGAATAAAATAAAACTTTACGCTAAGCTCAGAAAAATTGTCTCTTCAGATATCTAAGTCTAAAAAGCTTGAGTACTGACGATTTTGACTGCCTAGACCTCGTAGAAATTGATATGCAAAAAGTTCGTAACTTCGTTCAGAGAGTCAGATAATGAACTTGATTGGAATCAGCGCTTCAAGGCGCATCTACTGGTATACACCTCGCTGCAAAAAGTCACGGTCACCAATTATCCTTTCCTTGTAAGTGATGGAAACAGTTACCTTGAAGCATAGCTTTGCCAAGCTCTTGAAGCCCTGCGTCAACGCAAAAGAAAGAAAATTCAAAATTTAGCTATGCTGTGTTTGTATTGTTTCAATGATGTGTGTACCAAATCTTTTTTATTCCCATGTTTTTCCTCTGCCCTCCTTCTAGAAAGCACTAACCTCCGTTTCTCAACAGCAATGTATCTTGGTATCTGCGTCCATAAAATGTGCCCTAGTATTTGTTGGTTAATAACTTGCTTCATTGTTTTTCGCAGCTTTTATGGTACAATTCTATAGAGCTGCCTTCAATTTAGATTTACAGTAAAGGGCAAACCGAGCTCTCTTTATTACTGTAGGATAACGGCAGAACTGAGAAGGGTTTTAAGTTATCAAGGGTCATATTTTTTTCTGAATAAAAAGCAAAGAAGCTGAGAACTACCAAACCAGAGTAACCAGAGTCGTTGACTTCAATATAAAACTCGCACTTTATCTGATGCTTCCTTCATAGAGTATGCCGGATACCAAGTGGTAACCGTTCTTTCGATGTTTCTCAGGATTTTAAACACGCCTTTGGAATACTCTGAAAACTCGTAAATTTTATGTAGTGAAATCAGCAATCGTGATTAATTACAATTTTTTAGATCTTTTCGAAGTTTTTTTCCTTGGTCTGTATCACAGTGGCGCTGCAAGTTTCCACCGTAATAATGCAGTCATCAGAAGCGATCGGCATTTTGTCTCATATCGTAGTTCTACGCTAATACCATCTATAAAGGATTTCACCTTAAGAGCAGCGGAAGATAAAATAGAATATCATTAATGATCAAACAATAGGGAAATTTATTGAGACACCCTTATTGCACATATTACAGTGCAATCACATGTGCATATTTGTTTGCGGAACATTCAAGAGTGTTCCTTAACTCATTTTGCCCTATAAAAAGCTGTTTATCGTATGTGACTGCTTGCCTATGTTCCAGTTTCATTATACGGGGCTGGGCATGTAGAGGTCAAAAAAGATTTGAACCCAATATAATATTAATGATTAACAAATAACTACTGAAAAGTATCTCCTTCTTTTCCTTCGCAATCATTCGAGAAAAATGATCCGCTTGTCGAAACAAGATATTTTCCTTTTCAGTGAAACATGTTCTATACGCTCGTCCTTATTTTGGTTGTGCTGCAAGTTGCTGCTGCGACGGCACCCAACAGAACAGCAGTTATGGCTGACCTGCTAAATCTCGACGGCTATAGTGCCAGAGTTGCTGAGCTGAGAGCTTACAGAGAGTATAAGTTGCAGAAAAAAGCTGCTAAGGAATATGCTAAGCAAAAAGAGAAAAAGAAAACTGAGTGTAAATCTCCTACCAATGGAACATATACAGTGAAGATAGAATGTCGAACGAAAATTCGAATTTCTGTTGTGGTGAAATCCAAAGAAAAGCTGAGAAAACCCTATACGAATGGACCTGACCGTGTAAAACCACCAAGTGTGAAAGGTAAAGATGTCGTTGAGGTATGGTCTCCATTTCCTGAATTTGTGCTTTGACTCTAATACTATCACTTACAGTGCCGCAATCCATACTGCTGCGGAGAGTGCAGTAAAGACTTCAAAACGCATACTGGAAAATGGTACCAATGCTACAGTCTCTGCGCTAAAAGTTATCCCAAAGAAAATAAAAATTATCGACAGGTCGCGGAAGCGGCATAACTTTGCTACTGAACATTTATAAAGTTTATAAAGTCTATCTTTGCACGTGGCTGCTATTTTCCAGATTTATTTGATTACTTTTAGACCGAGCGGGCATTGCTCTGCCCAGTGCCAAGATAAGCTCGTGTTTCCAACGGTTGCTTAGTGAACATTATGAAACTACTAAAAGATAAGTTCTTTGCGCAATGAAATGCTCAGGTTTGGCTTTTGAGTAAGCCTGAGTGATTACACACATTCGTCCTGGACACCAAAGCAAGCCTTTGAAACGACGAATTTAAGCACAACGGGTTTGTCGCAGAGCAAAGGGCACATATTACACTTCAGACATAATTTCATCATTTCAGATTCACTTTTCTCAAATACATGCAGCGATGTTAAACAATGCGAAAGTCCATAAAAATATTTTGAAAAAGTGAACCATCATAGCCTTTCGCTACAATCGCTCACGTAATTGGTGCTGAAAAAACATGTTTGATTGAATTTGGTGCAACCTCCAGCAAAATCAATAAATTTTAGGTATTTCACGTTTTTACGCTGGGGCTGATATGACACTAGCTTTTGGCTATTCTCTTATTGAATATATGCTATCAAGCAAATTTGCTTCCTTACTGACTACATAACGAGTATCAACAAGCTTCCGTTGTTTGCTTTCATTTGCGACTTTAATCAGTTCGAAATGCAGTTCAGTGTTACCACTCTGATTGTTCAACTGAGCAGTCTTTTCAAATTTTTAGGTCATAAATCCCAAATGAAATGAAGATGCGGGGTGCTGTTCGATAGAGCAAGGCAAGCTCTATATGGCGGCATGTGAGCATCAGCAGCTTCTGGTTTGAGGTGCACCAGCTTCTGTACACCTCAAGTCAGAAGCCGAAATATAAGAATTTTGAGATGCCCGTAAAATTAAGGAAGAATATATTTTCGTTTAAAACAAGCCGGATCCTCACTAGCTCACATATATACACTCCACATACACTCATATACGCCGTTGTGTATTTGCATCTTTGCAAACCGAGAGAACTAAAACGTCCAAGCTTTTGGAAAGGCGACTTTTTCCGTTCGCACATAAGTCCCGCACGTAAGTAAATGTACACTACGTGCCTTCGGAAACGAAACCGCAATTTTTCAGGCTCCTACAAATTCTAGTTCTCGAAAAATATCGAGCTCAGCTTTTTTTGCTAAATTTTTTGTGTTAGGTTTTTTTCTGTAAAAATCAACATTTCTTGGGAACTAGAGCTTGTGGGAAGCTGCGCATCTTCTGTTGTCAAGGCCTTGTAATATACAGTAACTTATGTGCTAACAGCACGAAATCGCTTTTTTTGAAGCTTACTCTAGTTTTCTCAGTTTTTAGCACACAAAGAAATACAGGAACGATTTATATATGTTGGTGTCTAATGTAAGGTGTAAGCCATGAGGAATGGGAGACGGTAACTTTTGTTTTGGGCAATGATATGATTTCATTTTTCGGGCATCTATAATTTCTTAGATTTCGGCATCTAACTCGTAGAATGCCGATGCTGGTACAAACGGTCGCAAGACATTTTGTAGAGCTGGCTTTGCTGTATCGAACGCTACCCTTCTAAATTAGATTTGATTCTATTACTTATTACGGTCAAAACTCAAGATTGAAAAAAACTCATGAGACAATCTAACAGCAATGAGGGTGGCTGCTGTTACTACTGCGAGTTTAACATATAAAACTTTGAACATTAAGGCTTTACAAAAAATTTGTAACTGCACTTCACTTCGCATACGGATGCCGAAGAACAGTAGCTTGAGAAAAGGTTTTTTTTTGCCCTTAGCAAAATAAAGATCTAACGGTCAACTATAGGTTCAGTAAGCTTTTGTTATAGTGCTCAAAAAATACTCCGTACCACCGCGACGCTGTGGTACCTTTTTTCCTCTGAATTTCTCGCAACCTTGTTCAAAACGACTTGCATACAAAGTTATAGATTTCAAAGCAGCGCCATACCGCTAGCACCGTTAGCATAACCTTCCTTCTCTTTCGTGTTCTGGCAAGTTCCTGTTGATTTTTGGATTTAATCACATAAGGCTTCAATAGGAATTTAGTAAAAGATTTTGAGTGTTGATCCAGTTGCGAGCATTATTGATGGGGAAAAGGTTTTTTTGCATTGGCTTGAAAGCTGGGTATAAACAGGGAAAGTGGTAATCACCTTGTGCTCGTCTGCATCTTCGTTTATGTTGCTGTAATCCTGACCTGTATGATGCCTTCATTTTTTTCATAGTTTTAAATTATTTTCAAGTCAGCTGAAGGCTTTAGCATTACCTCCGAGTAAGTACCTAACACTACTTTGCTTTTATCTCAAATGAAAAATTACTTTTATAAGGGGCTGAACTCGGCAATAAATTTCAAAAACTAGCCTGCCCCCATATTCTTTTTTTTACTTTAAAAAAACAGTCCAAAGATGTTTAGATTTTGAGCACCTAAAATGGACGAAACCTAGCTCTACTTCAAATTGAAAAATTAAAATTTCATACTCATTTACAGAACAATTATTTGATCGATCACAGCAAACTCGTAAAGATAGAAAATACCCACCTGTGCTCTTGAGAACATTATGCAATTTATATCAAAATTGTCATTTATATTTCTTTGTCCATGACTACGATTACGACAAAGTATCAAGTCAAATTTGTTATGCAAAAAGATGAGGAAAAACAAGAGTTACGCAAAGATCTAGAACTAACATTTGCAAAAGAATTATCAAATGTATGAGCCTAACGCAGGGTTCTGCACCAAGGTATCTTCATATCGCAATAATGATATTCTTACATTCTAATCAGATTTCTGGGTACTATTTCAATGCGAAAAGTAAATTTTACAACGAAGTATCCTAGCACTATACCTCATTCACGAAAGATTTGGCGTAAAAACCAAAGAGATCCAAATGCTCAAACTGAGAAAAGTCGGAATTCCATCCAAAAATTCCTACGGAATGCTTACTCATTTAGATTCCTCAAGGCTTTCATGTAAATAATACAATTTCTGCATTTCCTCTTTCTCTTTGTCCAAAATCGAGAAAATGATTTATCTAACTTTGCCAATATAATGTCAAGTTAAATCTAGTGATAGAATACTTTGCACAAGCCATCGAAATACAACCTAGAAATTCAGCTTCCTGCAAGAGTTAATTTCTAAAAAATTGAATTTTGGCAGAAAAATCTTTTAAGAAGAGTCAAAATCAACATTCTTTCAAAAGGCCAGGGCCCGGCAGGAGGTCGGCAAAAGGGGTTTTCGAAAACGAATTCCCCTTTGACCCAAAAATTTTTTACGAATTCCCCTTTGACCCCAAAAACGGGACCTTGTGCTTGTGCAAGCAACACTTAAGCAAAAACAAATTATTTTATTGAAAAACTGCTATCAATTCGCAACAAAATAAGAAAAAACCTGTCCGGATTATTCTTGGAGGTCTAATAATAAGGTAATAACAACAAAACTCCTATGCAGCGTAAATCCCCCTCAACGCTGCGACTATGCGATGATAAGCCTTCAAAAATCTGAAGGCCAATATGTGTGAGTAACAACAATCGAGTCTGGTGCTCCAACCAAGCCAATGTTTCCTCCTTCTCCTGTCGTAGTCGCGTAGTTATAATTAAAGTTGTTGGGCTCAGCTACAATTATCGCGGTTTTATATAATGAAAACTGCGGCAAGCTAATAACAACATCAAGCGACGAAAAAGTTCAAAAAAAGGCAAAACTTCAAGAACGATAAGAACTGATAAAACACTAGAAACGAACTATATCTCGAGGTCGCGGCTGACTTCACTTCTTGGAGTATCTAGCATACTTTCAGACGATCTATTGGAATAAATAGATAATCCTGCTGTCGAAGAAGGCAGGGTCGATCGATGAGAAGGAAATGAATGGTGAAGTAAATGCGATGACAAATGATAAGCTCCGAAAACCACCTTCAGCGCTAGGCAGGGTTGCTGTAAGTAAGAATTAGGTAAAGGTTGCTGCAGGTAAAAGCTATCGTCGTCGCTTTCTTCCTCCAGTCGACAATCACCGCACGCAAGAGCCTCGCGTTGAGCAATATTCTCTAAATACGAAAGTTACGTAAGAGGAATACGAATACGAAAGAGCAATGCAAGACGCGAAGTGAAGTGGAAGAAGTATAGAAGCGATGAAATATCAGAGTGACGCTGTTATAGGGCTCCATGTCAGGAGTCACGCCGCGCGCCGCGCCGCTTCGCCGCGCACATCGCGTCTAAATTTTGTACCCCATAAAACTGCCCGTGCTAAAATGGCACGGCGCCAGTCTAGGGGGGTGGGGGGTGGGGGCAGATACATGGCTCGTGCCATAAGTAAGACTGCGCCAGGAGTGCTGGCTTCTGTTTTGCTGACATCGCTCGCGGCATCGCTTCGCGAAAAATTCGCGCCGACCGTGACTCCTGACCGTTCCCCCTGTTATAGGACTCAGCGACGCCGATCGATTTGGAGCGCGCTTTCCTCCTTGGGAAACGGGGCTGTTGAGGCAATTTTTGCCTCTAGCAATGAGGGGAGGAGGAGATTTGAGACCAAATTTTCAATATATACTAATCTTTAGGCGTACACTAGATTTATGTAAAAATTTTGAAAAAATTATGTGAATTAAGAGTTTTGCCGACCTCAGGTGGGAATTAGGTCGGCAATTGCCGACCTAATTTGGAAATTAGTTAAGCACGCTCTTCATTCACATAAGTTTTTCATAATATTTCATACTTTATTATTTAGTCCTATGGCGGACATACACACCGAGTCCCGCGCGATTTCGTTTCCTTTGCGTTGCAAACGAGCCATTTTTCCATTTTCTTGATAGTGGGAAATTTTCAGACAAAAGCTTGCCACAACATTCAGTCACATAATTTTTCAATGAAACTTCTAAGCCCTGCAGGCCCGTGTTCATCTACCTACCAAGTTTCATACCATATCGTCATCTGTGCGCTGTAAACGAGCCATTTGAATTCACATCTTCATTTACCAGTTTTGCAAAACTTTCGGA